GGCAGTTATGTTCTCTGACCTCACCATACTGCCACATGATGTAGTTTCCTGAGTGACTCGTCGTTTTTCTCATTTGACCCTGGTATCTCGGTAAATATCGTAGAGAGTGGGGAATCCGTGGACGGTGCAGGTTTTCCTCCTCCAGTTGAGTGGAGCAGAAAACAACTGTGAGCTTCAGTTCCCCACAGGATTCAAAACAACGGGATATCTCCAGGTTGATGCATCAGCGTGTCAGACAACATTTGCATAGAGTTGAATCTTTTTCAATAAGATATATATATAGCAGATCATTTCAGTGTCACAGTATAAAGACATTTAAACAGACTGTAGCTTGAAGAAGTGAAACTGAATCACTCTCTTTTGCAGTGTTCCCAAGCTTTTACTCGGAGCTCTTTTTGTTTCCCATAGCCTTGCCTTGAACTGTTGCCTCAGCAGGACACACATGCATACACACATTCATACATGCACACCAGGGGGTAAGCTGGGCCAGCAGATGGTGTTGAGTGTATGTGTGTGAGTTGAGGGGGGATCGTCATGTTAGATTATAGCTTATCAACCCGGTGTGTGTTTCTTCAATATTGTGTAGGCCAGCAGGTCCTCACATAAAGTCGCTGATCTGAAGGCAGGGATCCAGTAGGAATCGGCCATAATACAGGATTTTCCAGCCTAACTGGGTGTCAAAACCAAACCCTGCCTCATCATTTTCACCCACATCTACAGCACATTCAACCAGAAACACTGATCTCTCAGTCAGAACGTATGGATCACTACTCCAAGTAGGTCACGGCTCTCTCTCTGCTAGCTTTCCACATCATTGGAACAATAGTATTTTAATGAGCCTGTCTCTCAGTAGGAGAAAACACAACTCTTCATTTACATGTATGGTCTCAACCTGTCTCTGTGTGCAAAAGCAACACTCTGGCTCACCTGCCATTTTAAAAGCCAAAGTATGTAATACATGTCTTATAAAAGACATTCAGCTCATTTTCGGTATTCTTTTATATATACAATCAACTTGTGTATTCATATACACACATTTGACACGTCTTTCATTCAGAGTGAGTGCAGAGTGGACAGCAGACACACACCAGAGGCTGTAGATAACTGAGATATATGCCTTTGTCATTTTAATGTAATTTGTGTTCATTTCAGGCCCTGACCCGGTTAGTCAGGTAACAGCTGATGTCAACATCATAACTGGGATGGAATCACCGTGGAAACCTCATATTCCAGTTGTAGCATTAAGATGCTGGTTCTCTACCTGTTACACAGGTGGCTGTGAGTTGGAAACAGTTTCACACCACGTGCACAAACTTAGGCTGGCTCAGTGTTATGGGTACATTTAAATGTCAACCAAAGAGGTGTCCCAAATCATTACTACTTACTCATTCTGAGCATGCTTTAAGTATGCATTGTGTTCACACTGGGAAAGGGAACATTATGTTTACCAAATGCAGTACGCATGCTAAAAATGGATTTGATTTTGTGGGTGTTTTTTCAGAGCAGATAGGAGGAACAGCACAGGTAGAACTAATACCGCTACTGATGGCTCTGTTCCTTTCAAGTGTCTCTGTTCACTGCAGCCATTTTGACATGAAATAGTAGGGTAAACACATGTTACCAATGACACTAACTAAGGCTCCGTTCCATTCAGTGTAGCAAAGCCTTTCCAGTGAGCCAACATGCGCAATAGCAGCACCCTGTCTCTGTTCGACCTGAATGGAACTGTGAAAAAGGTATATACATATCAAAATGGAATGCAGCCACCATGTTATTAATTACACCTGTGCCTTCCCTACTCAAACGACAGTCAAAATGTCTGCTGTAAAAAGGCCTATAGAATACATTCTGTTTACAACTGGTGTGTAATGTGGAATTGGGACACAGCAGCAGTTTGACATTGAATCATTTACTTACAGTATAATACAATAAAGTATGTTGATATCTTGTATACTGCTGCTAATACTTTAAACCGTATACCGTAAACATTAGTATGTAGTACCTGTTTAATAAGTCATAAAGCAGTAGAGCAAACTAATATGTAAGGGTTAGAGTGAGGGTGCATCAAACACAGTGTTCACATGATTCCTGAAAAGAGGTCTAATTGGCCAATGTAAGTGAAAAAGCCTGTGTTAGTAGTGGACTTTGGTGTGTTGGGGCTTTATGTGAGTATAAGTTTGTTTTTAATGGACTTTATCTTTCTAAATGTTCAGCTGATATTACCAACTGTTATCTATTTTCATTTTTAAAGTTCCATTTTTTGTTTTAAAGTTAAATTAATTTCAGAGAAGCATTCAAATATCTCAGGTTGGTCTTTTTGAAACCTGCCGGCCCCCCGTTTGTTCCTCCACCTGTGTTTAAAAGCACCTGCTACCACTCCGTTAAATAGGAACTCCTTTCAACAGAGACTCAAACAGCGGTTTTCAGAGCTTCACATCTACAGCTTAACTTGAATTAGGTGCTAACCAGGTGCTAACCCGTGTTCATGGTCCACTTCACTGCATGAAGTCATCCTCACATGCTCAGCCCAGGCTGTTAAATCTGTTTTTAGGCACTTGTAATCCATCAGGATGATTTCCAGTGGTTTGTTTTCCTTGCTTAAGGCCCCTGAATGAGTTTCAACAGCCTCTTTGTTATCCCCACTGTGTGCTGTATCCCTCATTGTGGTTAAATGTTTGTTGTTGTAGGAGGAAGGCCGGCCCCCCAGAAGAGCTGCTTAAATCCTCCTGCACTTACCTCTGCTCAGTGATGTCTGAGCAGCAGACACTGACTCCTCACTGCAGGGCCTTCATCACTGTTTTATGGCTCCACTGGCTCTCAGACAGAAACCTTAAACCCGCTTCTTTCGCTTCCATTCACCTGCTACTCATTTTGCTTCGGCAGACCTGTCTTGGAGACTCAGACTGGAAGATAGTTATCTTTTGACCTCATAAACTTAAAGATTGTAGACAGAGAAGACTGAAAAGCATTCCAAGGCTCAGACTAGTATAATTCTCATTGTATAACCTCACACTAAACAGTAACTTTTGCACAATCCTGGTGTCTGAATACCACTGGTTTTATGTGATATGTAGTTTCAGCCTCACGTTAGCTTATGTGCAGAAGAGTGACCCCGATCAGTTCCACACAGTGTGGATACAGCTTTTGAATAGATAAAGAAGAAGTTCTCTGGTATCTGAATCAGAACTGGCAGAGAGAAAGTGGGATTGTGTGTACCTCCTGTTAAAGTAGCTGTACTGGTAGCAGTCGTATTTTGTTACAGTGATAATACTGCACTGTTCCTCCCAGCGTTTCAAGGCCTCGCGGTGACCGGTGCAGTGAGAATGTAAGCGCAGTGTGTTTTGATCACTGACTCGGGCATACACACACATACACACTCTCACCCTTCCCCCATCAGTGGAATTTTGTTCCCAGGGCTGCCTGGCATTCCTCACTGCTGCATCATGGGACCTCTGCCGTGTGTGTGTGTCTGTGTGTCTGTGTGTGTACAGTCCTGCTGGTAAGAGATAGCATATCAAGCATGCTGTTGTTATTGTGGCGCTGCAAGATAAGGCATCCATCCATCCATCACTCACCTTATTTCTACCACCTCTCTCACCCTCCATTCATTTCTACCTTGCTTTCCCCCTCTTGTCCCTCCCTCTATTTTGTCATCCATCCTCTCTTCCCTCCCACCACCTCCCTACATAGTACTGTGTGAGCGTGTTTGTGTGTGTGCGTGCGTGCGTGTGTGTGCGTGTGCGTGTGGTGCAGGGGGACCACCCGGCTGCTGACGAAGCCGTTGTCATGGTTATGGGTGAAAAGTGGGGGGCTGTGATGACGTTGTTGGGCCTCAATCACTAAAGAGAGAGGTAGAAATGACTAAGATGGAGAGAGAGTGACGGTGTGTTAATAAGTGTACCAGTGAATCAGTCGGCCACCATACATGGTGTACAGTCAACCAGTCAACCAGTTGCTCATTAGAACACTAACTAGGTCAGGCTGTGAACCAGCAGTCAGTTTATAAAGCAGCAAGTAAACCAGTCAGGACACTCTGTAAATCAGTCACTGAGCTAGTAAACTACTCAGATGTTAGGAGCAGGCAGTCCGACCACCATTAAAGGAGCATTCTTATTTATTACAAGAATAGTTTTGGAAGAAGAAGCTCTTCTCACAGGTTTCATTTTGAGAAAAAGTGATGTCATTTGAATGCAACAATTAGAGTTTAGCAGCAGCGTGATGACACTTGTGTGGTTGTTTGTCAATCAAATGTGATCAAACCACACCAACACAGTCCTGATGAAGTAGATCAGCTGTGTGTGTTTTTTTTTTACTAACTGTCAATGAACGAACCAAACTTAAAATAACAATTTAATGTTATCAAGAAATACTGGAATTTGACTTGAAAATGAGTTGACTTAGGGGCTATAATTTCTCTTGTTGACATCACAGTGGGCTAATGTGTATGTAAAAAAAAAAAAAAAAAGAAAGTTGGCCGAACTCCATTTAGTGAAGCTCCTGGTTTTGTGTATGCTAGCTTACTTTCCCACTGGGACACTTGAATAAAGCCATAGTTCATATTTCTAGTAATGCCTGTGCTTTTTCGTCTGTGACAAGTTTAAACGTCTGCTGTGAAAAAGGTCTTCGTCTTTCTGCCAACTTTGTTCCATTTTTTACGATTGATATTGGGGACAGTAGCATTGTGTTCACCAAGTGAATTGCTTACATCTAGCAGCACTGCAGCATTGCTTTTCTGTCAGTGAAAGTAATCAGTTAGTAAGCTGATATACCAGTTAATCAGTTAATTAGCTAGAACATACATCAGCCAGTTGTGTGGTTTGCTTTAAGAGCATCATGTGTTAAAGCCAGTTCTCTACACAGACCTTGTTGTTTTTTGTGGTGTGTTTACTCATACCAGACTGTAAACAAATGGGTATCCAACCATGTTGAAGGAATGTTAGGATGCAGAATGTCACCAGTCAAACTAAATGAATGACATCATTTTCCTGCTTTCTCCACAGGTGAAGGTATCATGGCCACCCTGTTTACGGAGCTGCCCTCCTAGAATTGCCTGATACATAAAGATACATACCTGCACATCCCTGGAATCCACACAAACACACCCACCTTTGACTCGTGGTGTGTGAGGGATGACAACCTCCCATCTGAACGGCCATGTTGCTGGGGAGGGAGGAGGTGGAGGAGGAGATGAAGAGCTGAGGGGAGGACAGCAGCACCGCGAAATGGCCGTCGACTGTCCGGGAGAGCTGGGTAGTCGAACGCTACCGGTCCGACGATCTGCGCAGCTGGAGAGGATACGACAGCACCAGGTATGCACACACACACACGATTATTTTTAAAGTACATTTAAGAACAGCTACGGCTGATCAAATTGCTAGTAAGTGCAAAACAAGAATCTAAACAGACTAATGAGAATAACATTAAAAGACCAGCGTGCTATGTCACAGTCACTACGCAATGTCAGTACATCTTTGTGCCAGCTGACTTCACAAGAGCTAACAGCAGTGGTGGAACACACACTCATTTAAAAAAAAAAAATTATTTGTACTTGTTTTTTTTTTTTTAACTTTACTTTGCAGGTTAGGAATTTGGATGCAAATGCATATACATATGATAAAATTTTGTTTCCCGCATATAGGCTTTACTTTAGCGGGCCGCCCAGGTTTAGTAACTGTACCAAAAGTATATTTTGCGTCCCGCTGTTTTTATCCAACCAAGAGAACAACGCCATCCATGACTGATTAACTTGTGGACAACCTCCTATACGCTCTACTGACAATTGCACATGCTCTGCAGAGAAACACAGAAAGAGAGAGAGACGTTCTCTGTTATTATGCTAGAAGTTGCAGACGAGCTGAAGGACCAGGTAACACAACAGTGACCAGTGAACACACCTCGTCGGTGCCATTGTAGTTCGGTACCACATTGGTTTCAATGTCATTAACAACAAGC